GGAGTAAAGTCCAGAGGCAGGAGCCGGCAGCAGCACGGAAGGTGACTCAGGTGAGGCTGCAGAGAAGGAAGAGCATTGTCAGGAGCTGCTTCGCAGGGCACACCTCACCCCCAGCCCTGGACCTTTGTTCTAGCTAAGCCCTGAAGAGCCACACTCAGAGCCTGGCCCCATCCGGATGCTGTCTGACTGCATCCCACGTTACACAGTCTAGTTTGGAGTTCTGTGTTTAAAGACTAAAATGAATTCTTCCTCAGGGTGTACCAACTTGCTTAATAATTTATTTGTTTACTGATGACAGAGCCACAGAACATCAGAAAAGGGAGCTTACCCCAAGGAAAGGCTGTACCTAGAACCTAAGTCCCTTATGGCAGACCTGGGGCCAGAACTCTGGCTTCCATTTTCAAATGCTCCTTCAACTGCTAACTAAACAGAAAAGACTAAGAATACTAAACTGAAAAACAGATCTGTTCTGAGTATTGACTACATTCTTTTTTTATATTTTTATTGTGAGACACAGTCACATTAAGTAAGTTGCCCTTGCTGGGCTTGATCTTGTGATTCTCCTCAGCCTCTGACAGTAGGGGGATTACAGGCCTGTGTCACTGCACCCACTCGAAAACATTTTTATTGCAAAAGAAAATCATATGCATGATTCTAAAACTGAAGTACATATTCTAATCACCCACCTGCTATCTTCAATCTGAAGACTCACGCATACCTCAAACAAAACATGTCCACAAATAAAGACACGAGTGAGTGTTCTTGTTTCTGTTCCAATACCTATTTCTGTGTATCATCTGACTGTGGAGGTGAGGAGTACAGTACCAGAAAAAGGCTGACCCCTGCTGGGGAACGCAGTGATTCTGCCCAACTTCAGTGGCAGTTTCTAAGTTTTGCCATTATATACAACATGTGCTTTAGTTTTTGATAGGTATCAACTATCACATCACTGAAATTTTTCTATTAAAAGGTTGCTAAAAGGGGTTTTGTTGTGTAATGAAATGATAAATTGTGTAAGTACTGTCTTCCTTACAAGATTCAATGTTGCAAAAGAATAGGAAATATTATTACTCATCACCACATCACTGTTACCTGGTGCATAAAGTTACTGAACAACAGTTTGCATGGTAGGGATGTAGCTTAGTGGTATAGAATTGGCCCAGCATGGGGCAGGCCCTAGGTTCCTTCCTGAGTGCCTCAGTAGGGGAGAAACCAGAATCTTTTACTTGTTCACCAGTAGCAATACCAGAGTCACTCAGTATGGTTCCCAAAATATCCACATCAGAATCACCCAGGGTACCTAATTTTTTAAAAATAATAAGACACAAAAACCAAGCATGGTGGCACACATCTGTAATCTTAGTACTCTGGGAAGGCTGGGCCAGGGGAATCCCAAGTTTGAGTCCAACCCAAGCAACTTACCAACTTAGTGAGACCCTCCCTCACAATAAAAAAGGGTTTAGCTCATCAATACCACCAACAAAACAAAAGCCTAACTTGGATACCACTCCAGACTTACAGAATCAGAATCTGAGAGTGCATCCCAGTAAGTTACATGAACAAGCATCCCGACATCTGCTAAACTCCAAACCACAGGCTAACAGTCAAAATTTCCTGATGTCGGCAAATTCCTCAGCACTCTGAAAACACTACCTTCCCCTTCACACATCCCACTTTGTCCCATCTCTGTGTCTACTTGAGCTACTTCTCCATTTGCCTCTGCCTATTCAAATACCTTACTCCCTAAAACCAAACTAAATGGTCCTTCCTTTATGAAACTTCCATGATCCAAGAAATCTTCTCATCAGAACTTCCCACACCCCTCATTCAAGGACAACCAAGGCACTTTATTCTTCTTGGAGGCACTAAAAGTTATGTGTGGCCACTACATTTGTCCTCTACACTCTGAGCTCCTCAGAAGCAGCACATAGGACTCAACTGCCTCATTATCCCCCAGTCTTGGCCACAAGGATCAATCAATATCAGGCAAGCAAATGAAGAAAAAGGAAGGGGAATTCTACCCATGGGAAGCATAGGGTATGTTACTTGGCACTTGCTCCACTTTGGGGTTTCTATCTTCTAGAGCAGTAATGGCCAACCTTGTTAGAGTTTTCAGTGATACACACGTCCTAAGTTCGCCACCACTGCTGTAGAGAGCCTCTACTCAGGGTAGGACAGGTTTGAGAAAGGTCCTCAATTAAGGATGAGAGAGAGGGAGGCAGGCTACCTAGCACCTGCTGCTCCTCTAATGCACACTTTGTGATATCCAGTGTTGGGGCCTCATGTTTGTTTTGTTTAACCCAGAATCATCCAGACTGTGATTCTGACGTAATAGCCACCCTAACCAACACCTCCCTTAGCATCCATCGGGGCTCTCCTTGAGCTTGTGTTTGTTTTTGAGACAGGCTCTCCCTATGTAGTTCACACCAGCTTTGAATTCACTATGTAGGCCCAGCTGGCCTAGAACTCCCAGTGATCCTCCTGTCTTGGTCTCCTGGATGCTTGAATTATAGGTAGGTGCCCAAATCCCCATGTCTCCTCAGCAATTTATAGTAGCCTTCCCAGCTTTCCTATCCACAACAGCTCTGTCCTGTCTGAGGTCCTATATCACTGGCTGGAGATACTAATGCACAGGAAATTCAAATTGCAAAACAGCATGGCCAGAGATCAAATAACAACATGGCCCAGAAAGCAAGGTGGTGCATGTTTATAATCCTAGAGCTCTGGAAGGCTGAGGGAAGAGGATCACAGGTTTGAGCCCCGCCTGGGTAACTTAGTGACTAAGTGAGATTCTCTACCAATATTTTAAAAAAACAGCTGGAGATATAGCTCAGTACAAGTTCAGAGTTCTATTGCCAATACTACAAAAAGGGGTGCTTCTTCCTCTCGCCCTGGATGAAGCCTCCTGTTGATGACGGAGAAGACTGTGTGTATGTCTCCCTTTCAGCTTTCCCAGAATGCTTAACACAGGGAGAGGGTGGGGCACATGCCCACACGCACAAACAGCACACTCAGAATGGCCAGAGGCAGGTGCCCTTTAATGGGGTCCCCCAGAACAGCAGAATCCTCATCCAGGAGCCAGAGCACTGACAGCCAGAGTGACATGGAGGGTTTCTGCAGGAACAAGGTTCAGAAGATGGCACCGATGGGGGGCCGGGCGCCCAGCCACTCAGTTTCACTGATCCCTCTGCCACACCTTCTTGGCGGCAGCAAGCACAGACTAGGTGAGGTGTGGGGGAAGGAGTAAAGTCCAGAGGCAGGAGCCGGCAGCAGCACGGAAGGTGACTCAGGTGAGGCTGCAGAGAAGGAAGAGCATTGTCAGGAGCTGCTTCGCAGGGCACACCTCACCCCCAGCCCTGGACCTTTGTTCTAGCTAAGCCCTGAAGAGCCACACTCAGAGCCTGGCCCCATCCGGATGCTGTCTGACTGCATCCCACGTTACACAGTCTCGTTTGGACTTCTCAGTGTTTAAAGACAAAAATTCCTTTGCCACTCAGGTTGGACTATCATGTTTAATTAGTTACTGATCACAGACCAGAACCTAAGAATATTAAGAGAAGGGAGCAAGAGAACTCAGTCAGAGGAACTGATGTGCTCAGGCCACAAATCACCCAGACACAGGGCTGGACCAGAACTCCTTTTTCAGAATTCCGCTTTATTAGTGCTACCAAACACAAGGATCAGAAGCATTAGGCTGAAAAACAGATCTGCTCTGTAAGGATTTATTGAAGAACATTCCTACTAGAATAAGCCGGGTTGATGACTATAAAACTGGAATATGTACATATTCTAGTCACATACCTGTACCTGACATCTTCATCCTGAGGTCTCACAAGCACCTCAAACAAAAGTCCACAAACCTAACATGCTAGTGAGTGGTCTCACTTTCTTTCAGTGACTATTTCTGTATATTATCTGACTACACAGGAAAGCAGTACCAGAAAAAGTCTGACTAGTGCTGGGGAATGTAACAATTGTGCCTGGCATTAGTGATAGTTTCTACAGTTTTACCATTAAATACAGCATTCGCTGGAGTTCTTTGGTATGTATCAACTATTACATCACTAAAACTTTTGTTCTCAGGTTGCTAAGAGATCCATTGTTGTTTAATCAAATAACTGACTGTAAATACTGTCTTTCATACAATCCTCCAAAAGGACAGGAAATGTAGTTTACTTACCACTGTATCACTAGTGCTTGGCATATAAAGTTACTGAACAAGACTTTTCAGGCTAGGGATGTAGCTTAGTGGTACCGTACCTGCCTAGCAGGTAGTAGGCCTGGATTCCATCCCCAGTGCCACAGGAAAAAAACAAAAACAGAAAACCCAAACTTTCGATTGCTTACCAGTACTGATAGCAGAGTTACTGAGTGTGACTCCCAAAATGCCCCAGTCAGAATCACCCAAGGTAGCTTATTAAAAGAAAAAGCACAAGCGATGGGCCCATACAGACCTAGGGAGTCAGAATCTGAGGGTTGGTACCAGGAAGTTCTATAAGAATTCTAAAATATGTGAAGTCCCAAACCACGGGATACCAGTCAGAATTTCCTCAATGGTCATTCAAAGTCCTGAGCATTCTGTGAGTTCCCCTTCACACAGCTCACATTTTCCCACCTTTGTATCTGCCTGTCTCTGTATATTCAAACCTACTCATTCCCTGAAGAAAGACTAAATGATCTGTCCTTTAGAAAACTTAACATTATCCCAGAAAGCTTCCCATCAGGCTTTCCAAGCTATCCAAGCGAGGACAATTAAGGTGTAGTAAGCCCCAAATTTATGAGGTGCCAGCTTTTACAGAAACAAACAGACCTCTCATTATGAACATTCATAGATGCAAATAAAATGCAGTAGTTCACCCTAACCTTAACCCTGCACCACCATTTTAAGGCAACTATAAAGTAAAATAGTTTACAGTATTTTTGTGTGTGGATTTTTTTTTTTTTTTTTTTGGTCATTTTTGAGACAAGGTCTCACTATACAATTCAGGCTGGCCTCGGGCTCACTTTGCAGCCCAGGCTGGTCTCGAACTCCCAACAATCCTCCTGCCTCAGTCTCCTGAGTGCTAGGATTACAGGCGTGCACCACCACGCCCGGCTTGTGTTGGGGTTTTTTATGGTTTGTATTATGTGTTTGTGTCAAAGGTGTCTAAGACTAACTTTGTCAGCATCACAAACGAATCTGACTTATGAATATTCTTCCAGAACAGAACCCATTCATAAATCAGGAACTTACTGTACGTTTAATTCTCCTTAAAGAAAGCTAAAAGGTTTTTGTTGTTTTTTACATTTTAAGAGAAAGCTACAAGTTGTACGTGGTTACTACACCCTTTTCCTGGGTCATGCCCCATGGAGCCTTCCCTAGAGGGATCAAAAATATCAGGCAAACAAATGGAAGAAAAAGGAAGGAAAGGGAACAGGGTCTCTTACTTGACACTTGCTCTACCTTGGGTTATTCAGCTTCTAGAGCACAGGTGGCAAACCTATGGCACCCATGCCACAGACAGCTGTTTGTTATCACTGAAAGCTCTAACAGGTTTGCAATCATTGCTCTACAGAGTCTTTGTTCAGGGCAAGACAGGCATCAGAAAGGTCCTCAACGGAGTGTGAGAGAAGGAGGTAGAACTACTGCTGCTCTTCAAAAAACATTCTAAAGCCTAACGTGTTCACACCTTCAGTGTAACGGCCTTGTGTTTTTCATTTTTTTTAATCCATAAATAACCAGACTCTGATTTTGATGCAATACCCAACCCAACCAGTACAAGAGCTCCTTAGGCATCAAAAGTCTTCAGCATTTTGCTTGTTTGTTTTGGTTTTTTGAGACAGGGTCTTGCTATGTAGTTCAGGGTGGCCTTGACCTTACTATGCAGTTCAGACTGGCCTCCAACTTGCAGTGATCCTCCAGCCTCAGCCCCTCAAGTTCTGGGATTAAAGGTATGCACCACACCACCCAGCTTGCTGAGCCTTTTCAGCAGCCTTCACAACTTCCCTAGCAAACAGCATCTCTTTTCTGTCTCAGGTCCTGGGCACTGGCTACAAATACCAAGAAATGTGCAAATACAAACCACAAAAAAACATGGTCAATATGATAAAATAAGAAGGACCAGCAGAAAGTTTTGCCTAGAGAGCTGAATCATCAGAGAAAAGGATGAGCACATGCTCAAGAAAGGCTTGCTGGCTGTTTCCTGTGAAGGCTCAGCAGTGTGTGGGTATACACTCACATTTGAGGACCACCTAACAGGACAAACACAACTCAGCACCCATGCTAGGTGGCAGCTCTTCCCTACCCCCAAAGGAAAAGTAAGCTCGTACCCTGACCCGCATACCTGTCAATGAGGGAATCCCGCATGCTGGTGGCAATGGTGCTAGGCTGGGCTTCATTCAGCTTGAAGACGCTCTCCACCACCGACAGCTCCGTGCTGGTTGTGTCCAGCCCGCAGAAGGCACACCAGTCGTTCACCACCATCCCAGCAGCAATCACCTCGCTGCCTCGGTTCACAGTGCCCGCCTGCCAAAATTGGGCTTGGCATGGAGCACAGCACGGCACGGCACAGCGGCCGAAGTCTCTCCCCTCCCCAATGAAGGCTCTTCCCAAAAGGCTGCTCCCTGAATCTGGACCCTGATCCCAAACTAGCGTGGCTGAGGATCCAGATTCCAGAATGCTGGGCAAAGGATCTGTCTCAGCAAGAGACGGGCAGGGCACAAGAAGTCTTACCACGAGGGGCACCTGGAGAAGAGAGGACAGCTCATCTTGATCTTCAATTGAAGTCTTGGGATGCACCAGCCCTCCCTGATTGCTGAAGACACAGTAGCTTCCTACTAGCACCTGTTCAGCCACTGTCTGTCTGAAGACTTCTACCTTGAGCACATCAGCCAGGATTTCTTCTGTCTCCTGTCAGTCAAAGATACTGTTGCTCAGGGTTCAGGACAGGTAAGCCAAGAAACAGAAACCTCCATGCCAGAACTCAGTGCCCCTCATTTCTCTGCTATGCAGCTGTACATGGAAGCCTCACTCAGGGAAAGGACAGGCTACAGTTTAGCACAGAGTCTGGGCCAGCTCTGGAGCCCCTCAGACCCGAGCATACCCTGAACACTGGGGGCTGGCCTCCAAGTCACCCTTTTCCCTCTAACACACCCTCCACTTCAACTGTCAGTCATCTGTCCTGGCCCAAGCCTGGCCACTCTCCCCAAATCTCCTAACCCTGAAGGATTAATGGTCTCCCAGCTTCTGACACTGACCACACCACCGAGGTCCCTGTTATAGCTGCTGTTCCTACTGATGGCCTGATATGTACAGAAACCACAAGAGATGAGGCTAACTTCCGCCTGTGGGGCAAACACGATAGCTAATCACAGCCTACGCTGGTCCTGTGGCTCTTGAGCCAAGCTGGGCTACCTCACCCTGTCCAGGTCTGGGTGGACTAAGGCCACGTAGTCATTGCAGGTGGTAACGTTGCCCAGGGCTGAGAGCCGCTCCTCCACCCGCCGGATCTGCACTGAGTCTGGCAGGCAGTTGCGAATGTGCTGCAGCTCCTGGTCAGTGGTGTTGTTGGGCAGCAGGAGCCCATGCCTGTTCCCTGGACAGACCCAAATTGGATGGTGGAACAAACACAGGCCGTGAATAAAGAGATGCTTCTGGGACTTCAGGAATCAAGATACAGCCCAACCCAGCCCAGCCCAATTAGGTTCTCCAGGATAGCTTTAGTCTCAGACCCCAACCCTCTAGCCCACTGATCCACACATCACACCAAGTGTGCCAGGTCCCGGGGCCGGGGATGTAGCTATCTATCATCATCTACCATACGGAACAGTAAAACAACCTGTGACTATGCCAGTCCCTTCCTAGGTACTGTATTATATATCCAATAGGAATATGTACCTGTGTGATACTTACACAGTAACACTATTCCTAACAGACTAAATACAAAACTGCCCAAATACCCACCATTAGAATGTATGAATACACCCCAGGATACTTACCTAAAACATACTCCATAGCAACAAAAAAAAAGTAAATTATACCAACACAACTATGGCCAAACTCTGATCGTCTGAAACTCTGAGCTTCTCTCCTTAAAATACACAGACCCCAGGCTATATCCTTCCTTGTTATGTCAAAAATTGCTTCAAATCCTAAAGGTATGGTTAAAGATTCAGGTGTTTTAAGTACATCAGAAACTAAGTAAAGGTTATAATGTTTTAACACTTTTTTTAAACGTAAAAAAAAAAAAGGTGTGGCCGGGGATATAGCTCAGTGGCACAGTGTCTGCCTAGCAAGTGCAAAATCCTGAGTTCAATTCCAGGTAGGAAAAAAAAAAAAAAAAAAAATGGTGGTGGGAGACATCTATATTAGCCCAATGCGCACAACTAAGAAACTAGACATGGCAGTAAAGGGACATAGGGCCAGCTTAAAAAAAGGACCAGTGTCAACAATGCTGAGAGGTTAGAGACTACAGATGGGATTCAGAGATGAGGAAAAGGGAACTGAAGATTTCAGTGTGGCTGAATAGGATGACCCAGACTGTTAACCAGTCATTTCATAGAGGCACAAATGGATGGTCAAAACCAGAGAGAAGCAGGCCCATAGTCAGTGGCAAGGAAGATATCAAATTATAATCCTCCACATTAGGTGTGGTACTTGGTGAGTTACACAGATTTCTGAGTCTCAGCTTTCTCAGTCAAATTAGGATAATTTCTACCTCTCAGTGTCGTTGTGAAGAGGAAATGAGAACGAGAGAAAGCAATTAATGTTATCTGACTATTCTCCAGAAGGTTTTTTTCAGAAGTTGTCTTGATATACCGCCACTCAGCCTGGGTCCCACTCAGCCCCGAGAGATAATGAATGAAGGCTTGGAAACTCCTAGGTCACTCCGAATTCTCTCCAGGGACACGATTAACAACTACTGTGCTTGGAGACGCCACTCCCTCCCCACGCGTCCCGCACATGCCTTACCCACACACATGCGCCCGATGATGCGGCAGCCGGCGATGGACGCGTGCACCACGGGGATGGTATCGGCGAGCTCGCCCTCGAACACGCTGCTGGGACACAGACTCGGGGTCACCAGCCCCGACGCTCTCGGCCGGAGCTCCCGACTCCCGCAACCCTCCCGCTCCGCCGCACCTGTAGAAGTTCTCCGATCCTCCGATGGCCACCAGGCAGTAGGTGTTGGTGAGCTTGGCGAAGCAACCGATCTCACAGTTGTTCTCGAAGGACGCTCGCACCGCCATGAGGGAGGCCTGGAGCTTCCCCCGCCGCCAGCGCAGGGTACACCGACCGCCTACCAGAAGTCCAGGTCTCGGGGCCTCCCCCAACTCAGGAGCGCCGCGACCCCGCCCTTCTAAGCAGGTCAGATTTCGGGTCCCGCCCACTGGGCCCCTCCTCCTCGGGCGCGCGTCCTCAGGCCGCTCCCTTGCCCACCCGGGCCCAAACGGAGCTGACCCAAGCGGCCTCCCCGCACACCCGCTCACACAGGACACCCAACTCCACACAAACCACACCACTACTTGCTCCCAAAGAGCTTTCCGTTTCCGCCTCGGCCCTAAGAGACTTCCGGGAGAGCCCTGCGAGCCAGCCACGCACGCGGCCCCTCTAGCTCCTCCCCGGGGGAGGGGAGGACTCTATGGCAGCGAATGCTCGGCCCGCGCCCCGCCTGGCGCCGCTCCCCGCACGCTCGCCCGCCCTCATTGGCTCGTTCGGTTGTTCACTCTTGGAGCTTTTGGGAGGTTCAAGCGACTAAGACCTGTGGCTGGCTGGTCGGTGTGACCCCAGGGAGAGGAGGAGCCAGAGCCGCCTACCAGGAGGTGGGCCGATGGTGGAGGCATTTACTGAAATGAAG